TTGAATGTTTCCAGGGATGGGGCATTCACAACTTCTCTGGGCAACCTCTTCCAGTGTCTCACCACCCTCAAAGTAAAGAATATCCTACTTACATCTAATCTAAATCTACTGTCTTTCAGTCTAAAACCATTACTCCTTGTCATATCACTACAGGCCCTGATAAGGAGTCCCTCATCATCTTTTCTGTAGGCCTCCTTTAAGTACCAGAAGGCTGCAATAAGGTCTCCTTGGATCCTCCCCTTCTCTAGGCTGAACAACGCCAACTCTCTCAGCCTTTCCTCATAGGAGAGGTGCTTCATCCCTCTAATCATTTTTGTGGCCCTCCTCTGGACCTACTCCAACAGTTCCATGTCTTTCCTGTGCTGAGGACTCCAGAGATGGATGCAGTACTCCAGGTGAGGTCTCACCAGAGTGGAGTAGAAGGGCAGAATCACCTGCCTTGACCTGCTGTCCATGCTTCTTTTGATGCAGTGCAGGATACGATTGGCTTTCTAGGCTGCAAGCACAGATTGCTGGCTCATATGCACTTTTTTCATCCACTGATACCTCCAAGTCCTTCTCCGCTGGGCTGTTCTTAATCCACTCATCGCCCAGCCCGTATCTGTATTTGGGATTGCCCCGACCCACAGGCAGGACGTTGCACTTGGCCTTGTTGAACCTCATGAGGTTCACATCGACCACCTCTCAAGCCTGTCAAGGTCCCTCTGGATGGCATACCTTCTCTCCAGTGTATTGACTGCACCATGCAGCTCGGTGTTGTTGGCTAACTTGCCGAGGATGCACTTGATCCCACTGTCAATGTCCCCAACAAAGTTGTTAAATAATACTGGTCCCAGTATGGACTGCTGAGGGCACCACTCATCACTGGTCTCCATCTGGACATTGAGCCATTCACTGCAACAATTTGAGTGTGACCATCAGCCAGTTCCTTATCCACCAAGTAGTCCACCCATCAAATCCATTTTAGAGACAAGAATGTTGGTGGGACAGTATCAAAATAAATTACTATTGTTGGATTTGGTGTGTTTTTTCTGTGTTCTTTCACCTGAAGGAAATACATTTATGAATTCCACTAATTTAGGGTCATGTTATTGTATCTTATTCATTGTGTGTGACTTTTTGTTGTGAGTTATCTTTTATTGCAGATCTGAGTAGAACTTAAATACTCTACCAAGTGCATAAAAAGGTAGGCTTAATGAGATTAAACAAACAGTTTTTTAACTTAAATACAGATCATCTTTCCTTCTTGGAAATAATGAATAATGTCAATAATGAAATGTCATTTAGCCATAAGGAGTCAAAATCAGATTTATTCTGGGTACTGGCTTGATAGAGTAAAATAATAAATAAATGACTTGGTATTTCATCTATAATTCTATAAATAAATGAATGAATGAATAAACCACACTGTTCATACAAAGGTAAAATGTTCTTAAAGTTTTCCATAAGAAAAAAGACTGCAGCATTTTTTGCACAAATTTTACTAGAGCTAAATCTGTCTTATGAATGTGACCTAGCATAGCAAACTAGCATATCTAACATGTCCTCTTCAAAGTACACTGTAATTATTTTTTCCTGAACTAAGCTTCTAAGATTTAAAAGAAAAGCTGATAGTGATAACCACAGGTGCAGAATTGTAACTGAAATTGATGGAAAATAAGCATTATTATTTAACTAACAGCTTACATACTTAAGAGGCAGAATGCTTTATTCTTAAATAATTTCCTTAAAATTGAATCATATTTATGTATTGTCTCATTGCAGCTTCAATGTATCAGTTAATATTGATTTAAAATCTTGAGATCAGTACAATATTAGGTTTAAGAATTCTTTTTTAAAAGAGCTGGCATATAGACTTACATTATGTAGTGTTTTCAATTTGCAAGTGAGGTGCAGTGAAGCAAAATTCATACAGATTATATATCCTGAAGTCCAAAAGTACTGCAAAAGTATTGATTAGGTAACATGAGATTTTCCTCGCTGCCTGACTTTTCACTGTCTACATTTGTTGTCCAAAGTTAGTTGACATGAACATTCTGTAGTAAAATATGTGATTCAGCCTCTTGAGGTGATGGCCAGTGCTCTGTGTGACAGGTCTGCTGTTTCTATCAGATGCTCTTAAGTGTTGGGGAGAACTTCATTATGGTGTTTGCAAGTTCTCTGTTGATTACCTTCAGAAAATAAGTGCATGTACAAAGAAACTTAACCTTCTACTCTTGCATTTGTAAATCTCGGTCTGCCTGTCCTGTTCTCTTATGGAGAATGTTGCTTCCCTCAAGGTGCAAAGCAAAGGTCTTGGTAACATGACAACAAAATGTTGTCAATTCATACTCAGAAGACAAACTAAAATCAGCTCCCTTAAGTAACAACCAGTCTGGCATCAGAAACATGAGTCCTGGCCCAAGGGGATACTTTGGGAATGTGTGCCAGCGCTGCCTTGGTGGGGAGGGTTGGGGGGGGTGGTGGCAAAAGTGCAAGCTATTGTCTTAAACCAGTCCCAAAGCAGCACACTTCTCAGGCAGAGCACTCAGTCATGAAGTTCCAGCTCAGACCTCAGCATCTGGGATGCTTTGTTCCACCACTTCAGAGGGGGGCAAAACTCACCAGCCTAAGGTCAGAACACAATGAAAGACTGAACAATGTGGTAGGGAGGAAAGAAGGTGGCCGCTATGTTAAAAGGTAACATTTCTTTTCAGTGGGTAAAATAGACTGGGGTTTTTTTTTTTAGGTTGGAAAGATAGTGAGACACTGTAGCAATGCAGAAAGACAATTGCGTGTATACCAGGAAGGGAAGTTGTACTGTATGGTGAGCGAACATGATGTGTTTTGTCAGTGTAATTGCTCCAGAAGGAACAGACCTCCCTTTTTCTTCCACAACAGTAAGGATCCAAAGGTGACACCTACAGTGAGCTTCTCTTTTTGGAGAGAAGAGAGGGAAAAATTTGAAAGCTACCATTTCCCTCTCCATCTTGGTCACTGGAGTAGAACTAAGTTATTGCTGTTCCTCCCTGAATTTCTGGAGTGGAAGACAGGGCTTAAAGTGGGAGATCCTATTACAAAGATAGTCCTTATGGACAGGAACAGATGAAAACCATCAAATGCTCTATAGTTATTAGATAGTTTCTGTCTGACATTCCAGTAAGAAAACATATTCCTCCAGCTGGGCTTGTTTAAGCTATGTAATGTATAGTCAGTTACAGTTATATGTTATGTAAAGAAAGGCACAAGTGTTCGAGTAGGCGCTGCTTCCACAACTGTTACATTGAACCTGGACTTTGGTCTTCTCTAACAAGTATTATTCCTCACCTTCCACATCCAGAAAATCAAGAGAGTAACCTCAGGCTTTTAGTTAACTGAATCCATATCAATGTTTTATTTTAATTCATTTATTCATTGCTAATCTTTTATTTCTTTTAGAAGTTGATTTTAATGAAACTTGCCCTCAGCTTAAAAACATCATCAGCCTATTGACTTTAAAAAGTGATTGTTAGTCAAAGAACACTTATATTTCTGTGTCTTCTTCAGGAGATAGAAAGAATATCTCTCGGAATACCTTTTCATTCTCTGTTGTTCAATGAACACCTGTAAGAGGAGCAGTCTTGTATGATCAGCCATCATGCAGCAAGTATTTTTACAATGTTAATTCCAAACACTTCAGCACTGCTGTCAATCCTCATATGGAGAGATGGGGGGTTTCACTGAAAAAAAAAGTCCTCCAAACAGCTACATTTGCTATGAGTTACTTTCCTGTCTAGGTCATGGGACCTTTCACATGGAGCATCTCTCAGTGAGACACTGCCAGAAATAAACTTCGACAAGTCCATTAAGGATAATTTTAGATTGTGAACATCCTTTGAAACTTGCCAGTTTTCTTTACAGAAAAGTAGCAGTCTTGGAGTGCTTGCAGTATTCCACAGATATTCTTGAAAAAATGTCAGATGACCTCCAAATGCAGAACATTTCTTAAATCAAACATAGTGGGGATAACCCTCCTCCCTGTGCTGTTCCTCCTGTAGGTTGTCTTAACACTCACTGACTCCAAATCAGCATTGTAAATCCCAACATTCATTTGCAAAGCAGTTCATAGGAAACTATTAATTCTTCAAAGCTGATGGAGAAGCCTAAATATGTGGCTGTTTGTTCTGCTGAAGACTATAGTTTTAACACTATTTTAGTTATGAGGCAGTGGGGAAATGCAGGTAAATTGCTTAGCAACCAGCAGGAGGGACGAGACTTTTCTGCAAGACTATTGCCATTTACAGTGAGTTTTCTGTCTTCATGTGCAGTTCTTTTGCTCCATGACATGGGCCCCCTTTAAGTCAAAATATAAAGTGAATTGCACTAGTTCTGGTATATAACCATGGCTGAAAATAGAGCATCAAGGGGAGGTTCTTGCTCCATGGTACTTTTGTTTCCTACAGAACTGGACTGGAAAGGGAAGAAGACTCAAATCTGGATTTTGAAGACAACTGGCTGAACCTAGCACCTAAAATTTCTTTCTACAATGGGAATGTAAATTCCACCTTTAGGAGACTGCAGTAGAGTTTTTAAGTTACTTAGGAACTGGTTCACTGGCAGATTCAGGAGTTGCTTGATGAAGCACTTGCTTTAAAGGCAACTCACATATTTTACTTCTGCAGCTGTCAACCTTTTCACAGAACTGTGGGGCATACTCCTTTTTCAAAATCCAGTATTACACTTTCCCAGGCCTCCACCCTGTATGTGTTGGGTAAAAAGGTTTTTGTAAATAATGCATGCATTGTAAACTGTTTATATATATCTTCTGATGGTGGGCTGCTTCCCCTTTCCTTCCTATTATGCCTCAGCTCTTACCTACATGGTTGCTTGCATGGAGCTGAAGAATTGACTGGCTTAGTCTCATTTTGTTTCCAGTAAATCATGAATTACAACAGAATCCACTAGCAACAGGACTAATGTGTCTGAAATATCCCTCATCACTGCTCTATACTGAAAATGTGATTACCTGTGGTTCTTTGCAGGTGCATATGTGCTTCAAGTAAAGGCGACAGATGCTGATGATCCCACTTATGGAAACAGTGCTAGAGTGGTTTACAGCATTCTTCAGGGGCAACCGTATTTCTCCATTGATCCGAAGACAGGTAAATACTTTATCAGCAACAGTGGAAGATTTAAACTTTGGATTTTGATTCATGTGGACAGTATCTGTGAATAAATATGGACTGGGCTGATAACATTGCGCGTGATTCCTTTTTGAGTATTGATTAGCTTTTGAGCAGAAACAAAGGAAACATGCTCCTCCAATCAGTCATGGAATATCTAAAATATGTATACATTGAAAAATTATTTTTTTATGCTTTACCATTTCACTTGGCTCTACATTCTTTTTTCTCAGCATTTTTTACTTGCTGAACTTACAGTCAGAAATTCTCTAGCAATGATTGTTTTGCTATATAGAGCTAATTTGAGACTGTGGAACAGCTAATCATCTCCTGCCCATATCTTTTCCTGGGGCATAGTATGTTTGTCTGGGGTTACTGGATGTGTGGGCAGAAGAGGATAATATGTTTAAAGAGACTGAAGTATTTGGGAGGTTGGTAGACATGTTAATTCAGTATCTTGTCCTATATTTCTAAATGTCATTCTTGTTTCTATATTTAGTAATTCAGTTAAGGAGCCAATAGCCTACATGGTGAATGCCATGCATTGTGTCATCCTTTCTCATTGATTTTTTTTTGCTAGAGACAAAGGTTTTTTTATAGAAAAATATATAGAATGCCCTTATACTTCAAGATAGGAATAAACAGTGGGAGATTGGAAACTTTACTACTAGAGTGATAGACAGTTCTTCAGTTTCTGAAGACCATCTGGAATATTTCTGAGAAAGCCGCTCAGTTGCACCTAAACCAGGTATAACTATCGGATGAACTGCATCTCCTGCTCACAAACTACTATCTGCCCATTTTCAGGTTTTTCTACTTACTGTTATTTTGTTTTGCTAATATAATGATGGAAGTCTTTAATTCTTGTAGCTCTTTTCTTCCTAGAATGAGCATAACAGGGATGCTGCAAAATCCTGTGGAAAATATAACCTCCAATTGCGAAAATATGGATTATGACATTCAAGAGGAAACCTAGTAATGTTCATCCTATTTACAAAAATATTTTTTCATTAATATCACATGATTATGAACAAATGTTTACAGTTTTGCAGTTCAATATTTCTGCCTGGAACAAACAAAACATTGACCAACACTGATTGTTTCCAGAAGTTCAAAAGGATAATGTTGCAGTATCTAAATGTATTTGCTAGTCATATTCCAGATCTATGCAAGTACAGTATATGGTATGCTGAGGTAGAAAATAGTAGTGATTATTAATGTTGTCATTATCATCATCACTGTTACAAGTGGAGAGAAAGGAAATTGTTATACAATTCAGTTCAACGGGAATTTTCAATAGATTCCAGAAATAGCCGATTTAGGTCAAAGTTATTTCTAGACTCTGAACAAGTACAATAGGATAACAGTTCCTGTTCCTACTTGTTAACACAGCAGAGGCTAGTTGTTATAAAGATAACAACTCTTAAAGTTTGTTTCTTATAATTCCAGACCTATTATAAAGCCAGGGGAAAAACACAGCTTTTAAACCCAAATGTTTTAATACTAAATAGTATTTTCTAAACCAATACTAACTTAGAGGAGAAGCATGGTTTATTTTTCACTTGTGCATGCTACCTGTACCAATCTGCACCTAACCATTTTCTAAAAACTGTTGCTGAACATATAGCATTTTGCAATGCATTTTCTCCTATACATTTGGTTTCAAGAGAAAGGCCTGAGTGCCCAAAACCCTACAGCTTTTTACAACCTCATCAGTTAATCCTATGATCAGTAGTACCTCTCTCTCTACAAGTCTTCCTTTTATCATATATATTCTTAACATATCAGAAGGGAAATCATTATGGCATACCTATTTAGATGTCAGCTATCCAAAATGACTGAAGATGAAAAGTAATTTTGGTAATGTCTTGCCATAATATTTTAATTATATTTTTCCTAAAGTTTTCACTGCATCTATGTGCTACATCAAGAAAACTTTCTCAAGCAGAGTCTTCTAATAAAGACCTCCTTTCTTTCAGTTGAATATGAGGAAGTACTTGTTTACTTTGAGGGTGACAGAGCACTGGAACAGGCTGCCCAAGGGGGTTGTGGAGTCTCCTTCTCTGGAGATATTCAAAGCCCACCTGGACGATGTCCTGTGCAACCTGCTCTAGGTGAACCTACCTTAGCAGGAGGGTTGGACTAGATGATTTTCTGAGATCCCTTCCAACCCCCACCATTCTATGATTCTGTGATTCTGTGATACACAAGGACACAAGGAATATTGTCTTGGCCTACAACAGCTTAACTGTGATGGTAAGTGACTGATTGGAAACACTTGAAGATGCAGTCTCTGAAATGCATTCCCACCTCTTCCTACATTGCCCTACTCTGCACAGCACAGCATTCTTTGGTCCTGGTGTGACAAACCTATGTTCACACCTCTCACGTCCCTAGTGAAAATGCACCATTCTCTTTCAGCCATTCATGTCCTGATTGAAAAAATGCAGCAGTCATTTTGAGTGGTTGAATAGCTGACGAGCACACTTTTGAGAAGCCTGAGTGATTTTCATATTGCTATGTGAACTCCTCTCTTATCAACACTTTAGGAAGAGTTCCACTCCTGGTCCAAGAGATCCAGTATTAAAATGCAGTAGTAGAAAATAATAGCCCTTTGTTTACTTGTTCTTTCTCTTTCCATTTCTTCTCTTAGGTGTAATAAGAACAGCTTTGCCAAATATGGACAGAGAAGTGAAAGAACAATATCAAGTTCTAATCCAAGCCAAGGACATGGGAGGACAGCTGGGAGGACTAGCTGGTACTACCACTGTAAACATTACTCTCACGGATGTCAATGACAACCCACCCAGATTTCCTAAGAGTATGTTGTATTCCAAATACACTAATTTTCAAATAAGCATGAGTGAAAGTATTAATGTGAAAAATCCTTCATATAAGGAGTAGACATCCAGGAAGAAGAAAAATATATGATGAAAAAATTTATAATACACTATTGGGTTTTTAAATAATATAAAGCTCAATTTGAAAGTATGAGCTTTGAATGTTTAAGAGGAGATATATCATCATTCCACAGGACCAGCCTGAGCCTGAGACTTCATTTCATTTGCACTTCAAAAATTATTTGGGAAATACTATTTTGTCCAGGGAAACTGGATGATCTCCTTCAAATGACAAAAGGTTATAACCTGAGACTTCTAGGTACCAAAGAGAAAACTGGCTCATGCTAAGCATTGTTGTTACTATACTCATGAACAGATTTTTTTATGTGTCTTAGCCCAGAAGATTATATCTGTCCTTGAAAACACTTACAGCCTCAAAACAGTGATCACCCACCGACAATTTATAACATTTCATATCAATTAGTTTAAATGAGGCTTTTCAGAAGTATGCTAATTTAAAAAGTTTCATAGACTGTGCATGATTAGCAGGATTGTCACTTACTGATCTCCTTAAATTTACTGAAGTTTTGTATATCTGTACCTTTGAAATGCAGACACTAATCAAGCATAAACCTTGATAACTATGCCAAAACAATTAGCTGCTAAAAGTTGTTAATAAGGCAAATTCGTATTAGAACATTCATGTGAATTTGCAGTAAGATCATGGCAGCTTTTGACTTTCTATCTCTTTCCTTGCACATTAATTGTAATCCAACTTTATGTATTATAAATGCTCCTTAGGCATCAAATCACACCTGAAAGGTCACAGTTTTGTTTCCTATAAAAATTATTCTTCTTTTCCTCAGTATGAAAATACACTGCATTTCTGCAGGCATGTAAGAATGACCATGTTAAGACAAAGATCTATGTTAAGACAAAGATGCTGAATATGAGCCAGCATTGTATCAAGGTGGCAAAGAAGGCCAACAGCATCCTGGCTTACATCAGAAATAGTGTGGCCAGCAGGACTAGGGAAGTGATTGTCCCTTTGTACTCAGCACTTGTGAGGCCCCACCTCAAATACTGCATTCAGTTTTGGGCCCCTCACTACAGGAAGGACACTGAGGCACTGGAGCATGTCCAGAAAAGGGCAAGGAAGCTGGTGAGGAGTCTGGAGCACAAGGAGTGGCTGAGGGAACTGGGGTTGTTTAGTCTGAAGAAAAGGAGGATCAGGGGAGGCCTTATTGCTCTCTACAACTACCTGAAAGGAGGTTGCAGTGAGGTGGGTGTTGGTCTCTTCTCCCATGTAACTAGCAATAGGACAAGAGGAAATGGCCTCAAGCTGCACCAGGGCAGGTTTAGATTGGATATTAGGAAAAACTTCTTCACCAAAAGGGTTATCAAGCATTGGAACAGGCTGCCCAGGGAAGTGGCGGAGTCCCCATCCCTGGAGGTATTTAAAAGAAGGATAGATGAGGTGCTTAGGGACATGGTTTAGTGGTGGGATGGCAGTGTTAGGTTAACAGGTGGGCTTGATGATCTTAAAGGTCTTTTCCAACCTAAATGATTCCTAAACAGAAACATGTGGCTGTCCAGGTCGCTGGCTGTAAGGAGTGCCTCAGCCTGTCAGCTGCACCGGAGAATGGTAAGGACAGTGGCTGTCTCAGGTGTGAGCAGGTGGATGATCTGCTCTGCCTGATAGCAGAGCTGAAAGAGGAGATCGAAAGATTAAGGAGCATTAGAGAATGCGAGGTGGAGATAGACTGGTGGAGTCACACCCTACCATCCCTCAGGCCAAAGCAACAGGCTCCACAGGAATCAGAGGATCCCCTGTCCTCTTGCCAGCGGGCAGAAGCTAGGGACCCAAGTGATGGTGGGGAGTGGAAAAAGGTCTCTGCTCGGGGCAGGGGGAGCATCCCCCCCTGTTGGGAGTCTGTTACAGACCACCTGACCAGGATGAGGATGTTGATGAAGCATTCTGCAAGCGGCTGGCAGAAGTCTCTCAGTCGCGAGCTCTTGTTCTTGTGGGGGACTTCAACTTCCCAGACATCTGCTGGAAATACAATATGCAGAAAGGAAACAGTCCAGAAGGTTCCTGCAGTGTGTGGAAGAGAACTTCCTGACACAGCTGGTAAGCGAGCCTACCAGGGGAGGTGCCCTGCTTGACCTCCTATTCACTAACAGAGAAGGACTGGTGGGAGAGGTGGTGGTCGGAGGTCGTCTAGGCCTTAGTGATCATGAAATGGTAGAGTTTTCGATCTTTGGTGAGGTAAGGAAGGGGGTCAGCA